TAACATTGTTATTTTAATTGACCTGATATTTTTCTTTTTTAAAAAAAAATTTTAATGACAAGTTACAGAGACTTTGGATTCCTATTCATTCTTTGTTGCACTTTTCTCCCTGTCCCCACCCCACTCTTCTCTTTGAAAAGTGAAAGTTTCCCCATTGTTGTACAGTCCCTCCCCCCAGGTCTACTCCACTGTGCAGCCTTCATTCTGGACTCCTGTCATGACAAAAATACCTAGTCACATATCCCTTTTAAACAGTTTTCTCCCTCATCTGTTTCAATGTGGTATACATTATTGAACCCATCTTTCTTAGTCTCTCCCCAACCCCGATGTCAGTCCTGTTTTACAACAGTGGCACTATGCAGTATTTGTCCCTTTGTGACAGATATTTCACTCAGCATAATGTCCTCCAGGACATTCCATTTTGAATAATATTGCATGAGTTCCTTGTTTTTCAATGAAATGTAGTATTCCATTATGTGAATATACCACAGCTTCTCTATCCATTCATTTGTTGATGGCTGACCTGTTTTTATGAATGGTATAAGATTGGCATTTTATGTAAAGTTTTTTTAAATGTACTTATTACTAGTATTAAAAGATAGGCAAGAGTTAAAGTAATCACATTGCCAGTTCAATTTTACTGTATTAAAATACCACGGAATACTAAAGATTTTAACATCTACTAATTGATTCTAGGCTTTTAAACAATTCTCCTTTATATAGTTTCTAGTTCATCTTTCTGTGTACCTCAGCAACCCATGTTTTTGTTACTAACAATACAGTGCATGGCTGGCATTGAGAAGAACAGGAATCCCAGAGACTTAATTGTACTCATGCAAAACCTCTTTCTAGAACCAGAGCTTTTGTGCAAACAGAGCAAGGAACACTGTGTAGTTTAAAATTAAGAGAGGAGTGCATCAGGGTTATATCCTCTCTACTTATTTGGTCTGTATGCTGAGCAGATTATTTGAGAAGCTGGACTCCATGATGAGGAATGTGGCATTAAGATTGGAGGAAGACTCATTAATAATAACCTGCCTTGCTTGCTGAAAAATGAGGACTTCAAGCATTTGTAGAAGATCAAGGAAGGCAGCTTTCAATATGGATAGTAACGCAATGTCAAAGAGACAAAGATTCTTACCACTGGAGGGTAGAGGGACAGCGCAGTAGAGGTAGACCCTCTATGAGGTTGATTGATTCAGTGACTGAGATAATTGGGGTGGGTGTGTTGGAGACAGTGAAAGTGGCACAGGATAGAGCAGGGTTTAAGACTGTTGTACATAGGGTCGCTGTGAGTCACAGACAACTCGACAGCACATAACAATGTAAGCTATGCTACTTTGAATTGTCTTGAACTGAGATTCAAGAGAGATTTAAAATGCATGTACAGGTCCTCCATCATTAACGAGACCACATTTGTGGTAGGTCCTCTCGGAGCTTTACAATGCTGGCCCAAGACTACAAGAAAAAGAAAGATACTGGAAAGGCAGCCAAGAACAGAGATCCAGTGAACAGATCTGGGAGCAAGACCAAGAAGAAGTGGTCCAGAGGCAAAATTGGTACAAGTTCAGTAACTTGGTCTTGTGTGACAAAGCCACATAAGTCTATAAAGAAAGTTCCCAATTTTAAGCTTATAAACTCCTGTTGTCCCTGAGAGACTGAACATTTGCAGTTCCTTGGCCAGGGCAGCCCTTCAGGAGCTGCTAAGTGAAGGACTTACCAAGCAGGTTTCAAAACACAGAGCTCAAGTAATTTACACCAGAGACACCAAGGGTGGCAATGCCCCAGCTGCTGGTGAAGGTGCATGAACAGTTCCAACCAACTGTACATTTTGAAAAATAAAGCTTTATTTTGTTTAAAAAGAAAAAAAATGCATGTACTTCCTAACCCAGTGTTGCTGCTATAATTAAGAAGTATAAAAATTACTTTATTGATTGATTGGTGTATTGCAGTAACAACAGTAACACCAGGAACAAAATGCTACATACATACCCAAAATTAAGAATAAATTAGGATGCATGAGAGGCAGTTTATATACCTGCAGTCAGTCTGCTTGATTTGTAACTTGTCTCTGCAGCTTACCAACTCTTTAGCCATATACAAGTTGCCTAAGTTGTCATAAGTGCCTCAGTTTTCCTATCTAAAATATAATAGAGATACTGGGAATATTAGTTGAGTTAGTATTGTGTGGTGCCTAACAAAATAAAACTGTCACGATGAAGTATATATAGTTTAGAGGAAAAAATGGTAACTGGAGAGCAGATTCTAATCAATGTGTGATTTAGGGGAACCTATTGTTTTGTATCCCTGATCACTTGTGAAACCTATACTCAGACTAGGAAGCAGTCCTCAGAACAGAGCAAGGAAAACACTGCATGGATCAAAATCAGGACAGAAGTACATCCGAGATGTGTCCTGTCTCCATACCTTTTCAATCTGTATGCAAAACTGATCATTCAGGAGGTTGGTCTTTATGAAGAGGAATGTGGCATCAGGATTGGAGGAAGAATCAACAACCTACATTGTGTAGTTAACACAGCCTCACTTGCTGAAATTGAAGAGGACCTAAAGCACTTGCTGCAGATGGTCAAGGACTGTCGTCTTTAATATGCATTGAAGCTCAACATGAAGAAAACAAAGATTATCACCACTGGGCCTCCTGGCAGCACCATGACAGATGGAGAAGAGATTGAGGTTGTTAACAATTACATCTTGCTTGGTTCCACAATCAGCACTCTTGGCATCAGCAGTCAGGAAATCAAAAGGTGAATTGCTTTAGGAAGATCTGTTGTCAGGGACCTCTTCAGAGCACTGAGAAGCAATAATGTAAGTCTAGAGACTAAGATGCACCTCATCCAGGCCGTGGTCTTCACAATTACTTGCTATGCATTAGAGAACTAGACAGTGACTAAGGATGCCTTTGAGTTGTGGTGTTGGAGAAGAGTCCTGAACATATCATGGACTTTTAGGAAAACAAATTAGGTCCGTCTTAGGGTGAAACCAGATTTCTCCTTGGAGGCTAGGATTTTGATCTTCTGTCTCACATACATTGGGTATGTGGTCAGGAGGGACTGGTCCTTAGAGAAGGACATCATGCTCAGAAGGGTAGAGGGAGCACAGGAGAGGAAAATCCCAGATGAGATGGATTGATACCGTGACTGAGGGTAGGTGTGTCAGAGTCAAGTGAGACTGGCTAAAGACAGGGCAGGCATCACAGCTGCTATACATAGTGTCGCAGTGAGTTGCAAGTGACACAAAGGCAAATAATAGCATCATTTTGTTTTAGAAATGTGACAAAATTGTTGATGTTTACTGATCAGTAGTAACTATTTCATGATAGTCACAAGCTTTCCTTATTCTAGCATGCTTAATAAACTTATAAATAGATTCATAGGAGACTCTGCTGTGACATCCTAGAAGATACATCTTCCTGCACGTCATTTGTCTCGAACTCCATCAGAAAATGATTTTTTTTTTGGTCTAGCTGAGCTGGAGGAATGTTGTTAGCCATTTCAATAATATGTGTAAACATTAACCCTTTTACAAAGGCATACCACAAAATTGTAACAAGTTTGAAAAATGTCCTAGTTTCAGGTGCTAGATTTTAAAGTCTCCAATATCCCAGTATTTTTTGGAGATACTTAAAAAGGAAAGTTTTACTACTTTCCTTGTTGCTTGTTTAACAGATCTTGCTTGCATTCTGCAAGTTGTCTCAGGAATAAAATTGGATGAATACATATTAAAGACATGATATGATTGTAGCAAAACTGTCAATTCTGTCACTAAATTTCCCAGAGTTTGGCCATAACAACAACAGAAATTTTTAGCTTTAACTACCACTTTTTTTCCCAGATAATTAACACTCTTCTTGTGTTAAAGGGGAGGGATTCCTAAGCAGATTCCTGAATCAGATAAGAGTCAACTGTGCTCTTTCACAATAACACGATGCACCTATTACATATTCAAAATTAAGACAAAAGAACATATACTCAACAAAGTTAGGACCTTGAGGGAGAGGAGTGATGCTTTTATTCAGTAACATTTTGAAATTTTTTTAAAAGTTCGAGTTAGAATCAATTTCCTTAATTATTATCATTTATATTATTTATCATTTCATACTTCAGGAAGATTACGAGTTGACTAATACAACAGATTTACTCAGTGTGGTCTTTCAACTATATGCTAACTATATGTTAGACTAAGGAACCAGAAAACAGGACAATGCCTCGTTCTGGAGTTTAATTGTAACATGGACCTTTGTTAGCATCTTTTAGGACAGACTACCTGCCCTTAATCTTAATTCTTTTTGATTCTGTTAGAACCAGTTTAGTGACTTGGAAAACCAGATTATTCACTTAGTTCATCTGAGTTTGTTCAGTTACATTGAGCATTTTAAAATTGGATTTCAAAGAATGATAAATGTGGATGTACTTTCTACTAGAGGCTGACAGTCCAGTAGCTTGATTCTGTTGACTTCAACAGAGTTGTAGCTTGTGAGGTTGTTCTTTAGTCTTAGGTTTATGATTCACAATTAGGAAACATTTTTTCTTTTTCAGTGTTTCTTTTCTTTCTTTGTTTCTGTCCTCTATTGTTGTCTTTTCTTTACCTTCTGAATTCCTTTCTTTCCTTTCCTATAGGCACTGATGTTCTTTACATTGGCCCTCTGAAAGGTGAGCCTTGCCACAAATAAAAGCAAAAGTGCTGGTCTGTCTGCTTCAGCTATATTCTTATCTTCTGATTAATTCTTTTGAACTGATTTCTCCCTCAGAATTTCCACCAACTTAAATTATTCTTCAGTCTATTATTTCATATCATAATATTACATGAATAGTTCAAGTTAATTTGACATGTTTTCAAGACAGGTTAAATAATGTACTAAGCTTTCTTTCCAGAATGAGTCTTAGATTCACAGTGTGCTTAATATCATTAGAGCATATATTATTGAAAGTTAAAATTCAGTACTTAATACTTACTAGTGTTTTTTTCATATTACTTATTAGGAAGTATATATTCAAGCCCAGGACTTTATAGTAAAACAATGACTCCCACTTATGATGCTCATGATGGAAGCCCTTTGTCACCAACTTCTGCTTGGTTTGGTGACAGTGCTTTGTCAGAAGGAAATCCTGGTATACTTGCCATCAGTCAACCAATCACATCACCAGAAATCCTGGCTAAAATGTTTAAGCCTCAAGCTCTTCTTGATAAAGCAAAAATTAACCAAGGGTAAGTGTTAAAATACAAATAATTGAAGAATTTCCTTCTCCGAGTAGAGGTAGAAATATGTTATTAAATCTGCCTTTCACTGCTCTTTTAACTAGGTGGCTTGATTCATCACGCTCTCTTATGGAACAAGACGTGAAGGAAAATGAGGCCTTGCTGCTCCGATTCAAGTATTACAGCTTTTTTGATTTGAATCCAAAGGTATCAAGGGTCTAGAGGGATTTCTTTCCTTTTTTGGTTTTCTGTTTACATGGATTTTGGTTTTGAAAGTTAATGAGGTAAGGAGTTGTTTTTATGCAAATCTTGAATACCATAAAAACCAAAAGCTTCAAGGCAGAAGTCTTTGCAGTTTATATAAGTACACTGTTTCAGCAGGTTGGAAGCATAATGAAACTCTTACAAATTTCTATTTTCAAAGTTAACAGTTTGGTACCAGGAGCTTTGGTAGTGTGGTAGGTTAAGTGTTAGGCTGCTAAGCCGTAAGGTCAGCAGTTTGATCTCTGTGGGATGAAAATGAGGCGGGCTCCTCTCATTAAAATTTAATGTCTTCAAGTTAAATATTATAACTCTTAATATTTTTTTAAAAAATACCTGTTCCCTTGGAATTATTATACAGAATTCATTTCTAATACTGAGTAACTATCTTTTGGATGTATTTTAATGTCACTTCTAAAAATAAACCTTTAAATCTCATCTGTATACACAGCAAAACATACCAGTTAAACAGTTTCTACTTACACATTTTTCCCTCTATCTCCCCAGAAGGAATTCTGGTGCTGTAGTCTGTATGGACTTGTACTGCTAACCAAAGGAGGTGCCTCTGTGCAGCTCTGAGGGAGAGAGTTAGGCAGTTTACCTCTTGTAGTTTACAGTCTCCAAAAACCTACTGCAGGGTCAGCTGTGGTTCACTTCTGACTCGGTGGCAAGAAGTTTGAATTTAGGTCTTGACATATACACATTAGTGAAATTGATTACTTCTGAGCTCTATAAACAGTCTTACTCTCCTTTTCTGAATTGTTTTTTTCCTGATTAACATAAGTTCACTGCTCTTTAAGCTTCCTAGCTAGTTGTCAGTTTGCTCTCATATAGGTAGAATCTACCTTGAGCTTTATTACAGTCTTTTAAGAATTACCTAGTTAAGCTATAAACTATTACTGGTTTTAAGGCTTTAGGAGCATAGTTTCAAGGGTTTTTTAAGATTTCAGAAAATCTTGAGACATGAGAATTTGAAATTCTGCTCTGCATTTCTGTTTTTTGATCAGGATTTTTACATAAGTCTTTAATTAAAATGTTTAGTAATGTTAAGTGGGCAACATCTAATCCTGACGTAATATCAAAGGAGGAAGTTTCTCTCAGAGGCAATTGGCCCAGCATTCCTTCTTCTATGCCTAACTCTTTCTTCTTGTTTCATGTAGGCAGAGACCAGTTTTACTTTTATTCGTAATAGAAAGGATTTTAACACATTATTTTGACTTTTTTTAAGTGGACTTGATTGTCAAAGGTTTAAGAAAAACAATTATTTTCTTTAGTTTAACTATGAATGGTCAGGTTTTTTCATGTTAAAGAAACATTACAAATGAACTATGTGCATTTTTGTCATTGTTGGCTGCAGTATGATGCAATCAGAATCAACCAGCTTTATGAGCAAGCCAAATGGGCTATTCTCTTAGAAGAAATTGAGTGCACAGAAGAAGAAATGATGATGTTTGCAGCTTTACAGGTAGGTGAGAGACTCAGTAAATGGGACTTTCTGGAAGTAAATGACCAAGTTATTTCAAAATTGTGAAATGACATAGTAATCCAGATAGTTTGTTTAATAGCTAGAATTTACTTTTTGCCTGATATGGCAAATGACTTGAGTAGATGCTTAGAAAACAAAATAAAATGAGCCTCTCACTTGCAGGTATATGTTACGTTTTAAAGCTACCAAGTTTTCCCTTAGAAATAAAATCACATTAAGAACTTAACCTTCTCAGGACACTGCTGTTGTAGTAGTGTTATAATACAACAATCACTGTTGTTGTACTTGCTGCTCCCTGGAAGAGGTCTGTATAACTTTGAGTCTGAAGAAACATCCCTGACCTTAACAATCCTATCACTGGCACCTATTTGGGAGATACATGTCCCACCGAATTTTATCAAAATCTTTTGTACTTAAAAAAATTTTCCCTGATTTTAGTGTGTCTTCTATTATGAAAACATATGATATCAATTAAAAATTCAAAATAATTTGGTCATGACAGGGTTATGCTTCTGATTCAGAATGATAGAAATCTTATGATACATACTATCTGAAGAATTTGAGTTAAATTCTGGAACTCTTATATTTAAAGTTTATGTTTTGGTTATGTCTGTTGTCTAACTTTAAATAAGGGCTTATAATTTTCCTGTGGAATTTTGGTACATTGTTCTTTGTCCCTTTTTTAAGAAAGGGCTTTACTTTTATAATTTAAAAAGCCAGCAGATGCTTACAATGTGTGGCACACATTGTACTGGTCAGTACATGTATCATGGTGTTTTTAACAAGGTTCTGTAGTGACTCTCTTTTGCCTGCTAATCTAGTTCATTTTAGTACAGTAAAAACACTTCAGTTAATTTACAAAGACTGTATCCAAAGCATAATCCTCCTAAATTTAAACATAATAAGGGATTTTATACAACAAATCCCCTGAGTTGTTTAAAATATGTTCCAACATTCATGAAAGAAACTAGGTTGGGAGAATGGTGAGGAAATACATAGTATTTCTGTTTGAGAAAGCATATACTAGGACATGTCCTTCACTTAAGACTTCTAATTCTTGTAGTAAAATCAAGGTAAAACAATAAAAACAAAGTGAGAAACTGTGGATAATAAAATGTAAAAGAATAATAGGTAAATTAGTAACATTGTTTTTTAAAGTATGTAGGTCTAAGTGTGTTTAACTTTTAATAGATATCCCATGTAAACTGGATTTTAAGGATTTTATAGCCAGGATTTCTTCAAGTATGATTCATATGGACCTTTTGCATCAGAATCACTTAAAGCGCTTAGTAGAAATGTAAACTCTAGATTACATCCTAGATATGGTAAAACAAAATTCTGAAGGTAAACCTAGAGATCAAAACTTTAAACCTATTCTACATATGATTCTTAATACCATCTGAATTTGGGGGCCACAGACTAATGATGACCTTAATGCACCTTGTTTTTACAGACATGGAATTTTCTACTATTGTAAGTATGTCATTTTTGGCGCCACTAAAATGCATATAGCCAATGACAAACTAAATCTTAAAGCTAGGAAACTGGTAATTATTTGGTCTCTGAATCGTTCATTAATAATAATTATATGAATAGATTCTATTCACTGACTGAATACTTGAGCAGATTGTAATGTTACTTATAGTTAAGTGCCATTGAGTTGAGCACGACTCATAGCAACCCTTTGAACAAAAGATCTGAAACCTGTTCTATAACTGTCATTGTTACTCTAATGTTCATAGAGTTTCCAAAGGCATGTTGTTTACGAAATGGATGCCAGTCCTGCCTCCAAGCCTGTCTTAATTGGGAACTCGACCAAACAGTGTCTGCCATGTGTAACAATTACAGCATTTGACACTAGTGGCACAACATTCAGCATCATGGCAACCCCAAGTTACCTCAGGACAGCAAACTGACAGACCAGTTCTGTACTGCTTGAGTGCTTCTGGCAAGAGGACCCAACTGCCTTTTAAATACAAAGGCTCACCCATCAAGTCCTGATTGACTTAAATAAGAGGCATCAGCCCACAGCTGCCTGATACCTAAATCCAGTAAATCCAGTCAGCTAGCACTTTGAAAAGTACCAGAGCTCTAAGCACCATAGGGTAAAGTCCCTTAGACTGCACTTACCTGAGTGTGTGGAAAAGTCAGGTTCAATTTGTTACTGAGTTGATTCCAGTTTACATGTTTCATCATAGAACTGTAGGCTTTTAAGTTTGCAGCTTTCTAACTCTTTGCATTAATCAAGGACTCAATTTGAAAGCTATAACTAGCCATTTCTCAAAGATTTCTTCTGTCTGTATGTAGAGATTTAATTACCACTCACTACTAATATATGTGTGTGTTCATATGTAAACATAATTTATCTTTATTTTTATGTTTTAAGAATGCAAATATCTGGTTCTGGCATTGGTTCAACTTGAATTGAGATTGAGAGCAAAGAAAAAAAACACAAGCTTCAGCTCTCACCATAATAGTAGTAACTTTTAGTGATAATGTAAGGTAATCGTAGTTAACCATTTCCACAAATGATTTTATGAATATTCTCTTCATCAGTATAGGTGGGATTTGACAAAACAAGTTCATACGGAGCTTGGTGGAAGGAAGTATGCACTTGCTTAAAACCTCCAAAACTAGTAATTCATTTGTGTATGCCCAAAGACCCCACATCCTATAGATATTATATAGATACTATAAGCCTGCTTAGGATGTTAATTTCAGATATTGAACCCTTGATTTTCCTACTGTTCTGCTAATAGGCACTTATTAAATTAGGTAATCAAAAGCATTGAATATAGATAGTAATTTCCTTGTAAAGTTGTTCCAAAGTTAATACAGTACTTTTAATAAAATGTCATTTCTTATTTTAGTATCATATCAATAAACTGTCAATCATGACATCAGAGAATCATTTGAATCACAGTGACAAAGAAGTTGATGAAGTTGATGCTGCCCTTTCAGACTTGGAAATTACCTTGGAAGGGGGGAAAACATCAACAATTTTGGTAGGGTTAATCTTTTTATCTACTGTTTTAATTTCAGTTAATCATGTCTAAGCATACAATTTCTTAAGTGTTGATGCTCTTGTCTTTGTAAATTAAATAAATGCTCACCAAGGGGGTAGGGAGAAGTATGTAATACTTGAGAGATGTCAGACATTTTAGGAAATTTCAGGAAGAGTTTGTGTTTTTTTTTTTTACTCAGGGCCGTGGGAGGGGGGCAGGGGAGTATTCCAAAGAAGGAATTTTGCTTTTCAAAGAGAGGAGGGAACTGGGGTGAGAGGGCTGGGCAGGGAGAAAAGTGCAACAATGAATGAATGAATGAATGAATGGAAATCCAAAATCTCTGTAAAT